TGGAGAGTGCGCCGCTTGGGAGTGCGGTGGCGCTCCCGCTGAGGGTTCGGATCCCGTGTGGTGACCCGTTCCCGCTCACTGGCTGAGCGCGGCATGGGCGCAACACCGAGGGTGCGACACTGAGGGTTGCGATCCCATACCGGTCAGTAAAAAAGACAAAAAGAAAAAAAAAAAAAAAGACTGACCATACCACGTGTTGACAAAAATATGAAGGAACTTGAACTTTTGTACCTTGCTGATAGGAATGTAAAATGGTACAATCACTTTGGAAAACGGTTCAGCATTTTCTAAAAAAGTTAAACATACACCGACCATATGATCCAGCCATTCCACTTGTAGCATTTACCCAAGACAAATGAGAGCATATGTCCATACAAAGACTTGTGCATGAATGTTCATAGGAGCTTCGTTTGTAATAGCCAAAACCTGGAAATAACCTAAATGTCCATTAACATGTGAACAACGGAATAATACTCAGCAATAAAAGGGAATGACCTATTGTTACATGTAACAACATGGATTAAATCTCAAAATAATTATGCTGAGTGAGAGAGACCAGACAAAAAAGAATAAATATTGTATGACTGTATGATTCCACTCATATAAAATTCTAGAAAATACAAACTAATCTTTTGATCAGTGGTTATTTGGGGGCAGGGCTGGGGATTAGGGAAAAAGAGGTGGGAGAGAAAGATGACAAAGAGCCGTGATACAACTTTTTGAGGTGATGAATATGTTCATTATCTTAATGGTGATGATGGTTTCATGGGTTACAAATACGTCAAAACTTATCAGATTATATACAGTACGTATGTGTGATTTACTGTATGTTAATTGTATATAAACTAAGAATGAATAAAAAAGAAATAAATGGAACAAAACCATTGAAGCACTAGAAGAAAATGAAAGATATTATTTTCATAATCTTGGGTAAAAAAAGACCTTTCTTAGCATTCACTAAAGCTAGAAACGACCAGTAAAAAAGACCAATAAAATCGCTGCATAATTGAATACAAATTAACCACATAACATAAACTAAGTTAAAAGATTAACTTCAACGTATGATACACACAGGGTTAATATCGTCACCATACAAAGGGCTCTTATACATCAATAAGGAAAAGATGAGCTGGCCAGTTAGCTCACCTGGATAGAGCACAGTGTTATAACACCAAGGTCAAGGATTTGGATCCATGTACCGGTCAGTCACGAAAAACAAGAAAAAAAAGAAAGAAAAAGATGAATACTTATTGTAGAAAAATGGGGGAAAGGCCTACATTTCCTGGTAAGGCACAA